TGCTAGCTTTACATAGCCACATTAAGTTGGGCGTTTAAAATAGAGTTTTATTAATTGTAATAAAAGATTGGGAAATTAATTTAATTAAACACTTGTTAATGACTTTAGAGAGCTTGTCCAAGTATTTTTAGAAACAAAGGTTAGCATTTATATTCATTAAAAGCATTTATGAGAGGAGGTAATTTGACAATTGCGCTACAATTGCACGAACTTTGACATTAAATTCTGCCATCAATTTGACAGCTTTTGGGCAACTTCCAATGCACCTCAATTCTCCGTTTGATGTCCAATTGACATGAACGAGGTGTCTATGAAAGCTCTTTCCGAGCTCTAACTGATGGCTTTGGTTCCATAATCAAATTATTACTCAATTAAAATTTTGACGCTCTTGTCAAAACTTGCACTTTTTCTACAAATTTCATAAAACTAAATGCCCAAATCATTTACTATAAGCCTTTAGCCATTGATACCCATTTGACCATATGCAAAACATCAAAACTAACTCGTGTATTGCACCATAATATAGTAAACACTTATAGATCACCATTTTACTACTCAACCCCTTAACCTCAAAAACATACAAGGGGGAGTTTAAGCACATTTTCATCAAATAATCTATAATCAACATATGATATGCTATACTCTTATTTGAATTAGTATTTTGGCCTTATCATGTATATCACATAACATCAACTCGCTCCCTAGGACCCAAAATACACTTACAACTCACAAACACATAATGCAAGTAAGAACCAAAAATAGATAAAACCTAGTTGGCAATTTAAATTTCAAAATACATATAATGACTCAAAAATAAAGGCATACAAAATAGGATTGCAGTCCAAAGCCTCTAGAAGTTTTTTTCTTTTCAATCCTCTTCAGCTATTCCCTGTAATATTAAAGAAAGTAGGGTGTGTAATCTTCCCTATATGGATGTCGAACAAGTTGAGGTGGGGTGCCATAATGCTTTTGACACTCCTTACGTGGGAAGTTACAAAAACAAAACATAAAAAATCATAAACATTGTCGCACCCAAAAATGCGACGCGGACAGTGTGAGAGCGGAGGTTCTGGCCTTTGAAAGGAAGATCGAAGAAATTGGAGTCGCCACCAAGATTTTGAGGAAAATCTTGGAAAACCGTTTAATGAAAGATAAGGATGGTTTGTGAAAACAGGAAATAGATTCGGGAGTCGGTTGAGTGTGAGGAAGGTGTTACGTACCCGTAACACCCATTCGTGAGAACGGTTACCTCAAGTTTGTTGTGCTATATTAATATGATTTTAAAATTATTTTAATTATCCCTTTTATATTCATGTATTTGATGTAAAAATGATAAGAATTAAGTGAGAAATATTTATTTATTTATGAGAGAGGACTTGATTCAGAATTCAACTCTGAGGCCTACGTACCCTATGATAGGGATCAAAGTCCATGTAGTTCGGGCTTATAAGTTTGTTGGTGAAAATATTTTTTTGAAGAGAAATTAATCAAAAATAATTCACCCTTTTGTAAATAAAACAATTTTTCTGAAATTTTGATATGTGTGTTTTAAATTGCAAAAAGTGATTTAATTTCAATTATTTCCTCTATTTTTAAATTTTTGGAATAAAGAAAAGAAAGGAGTTTAAAATTTTTTTATTTTTATTTTTTATATTTTATAATCGAGAATGTAACTGTTATACCTGTAGTGCCTTATTGGCTCATACGGTAATATAATTATTCTTTATATCTGTGAAGAATCCAAACTCTCGCACGATAAAAGAGTTTAACAACTTAGTTTATTTACTTAAGTATTTTTTAATTATTATTTTTTAGTGCATTCATATATACTTCTCTTTTTTTTAAAGACTCTTAATCATCATATCTGCAAAGCCTTATTGACTTTTACGGTAATATGATTATCCTAAATATCTATGGAGATTCAAAATCCTCACACCGTAAATGATTAAATATTATATATTTTTTTAAAATATTTTAGTACGGAATTATATAATTTGCATTTTACAATATAAAAATCTTAATCGCTATACCTACAAAGTCTTATTGACTTTCACAGTAAGATGATTATTCTAGAGATCTATGGATATTCAAAAATCTCACATGACCAAAATATATAATTGGTAAATATAATTATAATCTAAATTCATTAATTTAAATAATTAAAATTATAATTTTTTTAATTTTATTTAAAAAATTCATCTATTTATTTACCATATAAATTATGAATCACGATATCTGCGTGGATTTATTATCCTACATGATAATATGATTAATTTAAATCTCTACGAAAATTCTTGAAATCTCTCATGAAACTTAAATATTTAGTATAAAGAGAGAATTAATTTCAATAATGGGCAATATATACAAATTAATAATCATGACATTTGCGATAACAAGCAAGAAGAAATTATGTAGGGCATGTAAAAGAAGAAATCAAAACACTGCAATATGATAAATGCAAATAGTCACAATGGAAATTATGACTATAACGAAATGAAACTCCAGGACCGCAGGTAGCAAAAATTGTCACTGCAATTATAATAATCATTTCATCACAATCAATGGGACATAAAACAAATTAACAATTGTATAGACAATGAAGTTGAAAATAATAATAATATTTGTGACCTAAAATCATAAAGTGCATTATTTGAGAACTTCAAAACAAAATAGCACTGAAAAACCATTAATCTTAACCACCATGAATAATCAATCATAGTTCATTAAACCATGAAATCAACACGAAGTCACTTTCAATTTTCATATTTAATTACTAAAGTAAAAGTGAAACAATAACAAGTTAGCCCAAACGTTTACAGATAGCAGAATCTCACTTGAGGACGAAGCCATAGCAGAAAGTTTGCATTCTTCTTCCTCTCAAGACAACGCTTTCATCACTTCAACCTCAAGTTTTGAACATATTTCTGGTTCTTGGTTTCTTTTAAACCATCCAAAACTCGTGTGACTGGGGGAAGAAGAAAATGATGATCTTGTTCAGTCCAAAAACCCACGTGTGCATGCATGCTACTGTTCATGCGTGTTCTTCTTTTCCATCCGTCGTCATGCCCTATTTTCTTTCTTTTTTTTTTTTTTTTGCTACTCTCACTCTCTCACGTTCTTAGTACTCTCCGTGTGTGTGTCTGGTGTTCTCTATCTGTGCTCTGTTTTTCTTCTTCAGTCTCTCTCTCCTTTTCAGATCCTCTTTCCTTTCTCATCTATGCTATCTCACTCTCTTTCTGTCTCGTTTTCCTCTAGTTTATCTTTTCTTGGTCTCTTCCTTGCTTAAACCTCTCTTTCTTCATCTTTGACTCTCTGTCTCCATTCGTTCCTTGTTCCAACTGCTGTGCTCTCTCACTCTCCTTCTCTATCTCTCTCTCCTCCAGAAATTCCTCTCTCTCTTTCTTCTTTTCTGCTCTATTTCTCGTTCAACCATATTCTCCTCTTTCCGTCTCTGTTTTCTTCCTTTCGTCTCTCTCTTCTCTTCGTCTTTGTTTTTCTTGTTCAATTTCTCTTCTCTCTCGGTCCTTTCTTGCTCTCTGTCTTTTGCTCAAACGCTCCTACCTCTCTCTTCTTTTCCATTTTTTTCTCCTCCTCTTCCTCCATTGAGAAAGGACTAAGAAGAGGAATGGAAGCATACTCCTTATCCTTTTTTGTTCTTCTCCCGTGAATATTCATCTCAGTTTTTTTTCTCCTGACCCCCTCATCTGTTCCTCTTACTCTTATGCTCTGTTTTTCTTCCCTTCTCTCTTGCCGCTGTGATCTACATTTTATACTCTCTTTTATGCTCTCTTTTTTTTTAGTTTTTTGCTGTTTCTCGTGCACTTGTCTTCTGCCTTTTCTCTGCTGTGTTTTTCCCTTTTCTCTTCTTTTCTACTACCATCTGCATGCATGCATCTCCAGCTCTGTTTTTCCTTGCTTCTTCGTACGTGCATGCATTTCTTTTTCTGCATGCGTCTCTCTATTTTCTTTTTGTGTATTTTCCTCTGTGTGTATCAGCTGGCGTGTGGGTCTGATCAAGAATGGTTTTCCCTTCGTGTTTTCAGCCGGTGGTAATGTCTGGTTCTGCTTTTCTGTATTTTCTCTGTGTGTTTTCATCTATTTTATTTCTGCTTTTTGCTTTGCATGTGTGACTTCATTTCTATCTGCCATCTCCTCTATGATCACAGCTTGCTTTCAGGGTCTTCTCTGCATTCTCCTTTCTTGCCTTTTTCTGCGTTTTTCTCTGTGTGGCTGTGTGTTTACGTGCTTCATTTTGCTTTCTTTCTCTGCTGAATCTAGGCTTTGCTTCTTTTTTTTTTTGTGTGTTTCGTGTGTGCTCTGTGCATGCTTGGTTCTTCTTGCTTTTCCTTCTCTTGTCTACATTTGACCGAGTGGAGAGATTTGCCCTTTTCGAATCAATGGGTTGAGATTTAACCCCTTCTTTTTTTATTTTGTTAAATTATTATATTTTTTAAAACATAATCCTAAAAAAGGATTAAATTTTATTTTTTGTATCTTTATATTTTTTATTTATTATTAAATTTAAAAAATGCTCGAACAAAATACGGTATTCACAAACATAAATATACAAGTTATCTCTTAAATATTTTTCTTGTGATGATTTGCAGCTTTTAGGATGGTCTAGGTATTGTATATATTTTAAATAAGAAGAGTAACACAGGGAAGGGAAGTAAGAACCGGGCTTTAGTACCAAATTGATGTAAAATGGGAAGGGGAGGGGGGAAGAGAGATAAGAAAAGGGTGGAGGAAAGAGAGATAAGAGAAAAAGGAAGGAAAATGCCAAAACTCTTATTGCCATTCGTTACTGAAGGAATATGAAGCAAATTTTAGCTCTGCAATAAATGATCTGCGACTATTGATAACATGGATTATAACCTCAAGGTTAAGGGGAGCTTTTCATTTTAAAGTTGTTGATGAGAGGAAAATGAGGTTTAAAAAAAATGAGAAGAGGCTGTTGGTCCAATTTGAAGTCTTGCACACCACATAAGATCACTCCCATATCCAATGTGTGCTTGAATGGGCTATGCATCCAATTATTTGGGGCATCTATGTCTCTATCTTCAATCGGGCCATGTTTACATCTCAGGAGAAGTCTTGTTTGATGAAGGCCACTTCTCATTTTCTTATGCAGCCTTACCGTTACAACTACCAGTCCTCCGGTTTACCTAATCCTGGTTTGCATCGCTCATCTCATGCCTCACCAACGGTCGCGTCTTCTTCTTCCTCCTCCAACACATCTCAATCTTCTTCCTCTGACTAGTGCTCCTCTCTTGACTATCGAGAATCTCACTTAGATGCTTGCTCGCCATTCTCGGACTCATGGTCACAATTTCATGGTGCTTGCTAATCTCGGTCACTCGATCTTTGCTTTAGCCTCCAGGTACCTCTAATTCTCTGATTCAAATCATGCAATCATCCACAAGCACTAATAAAAAGACACAAATCCTAATTCCCATGCAATCTTTCTCCTGGTTTAAGACATTAAGCAGATAAATTCTCTTGCCTCTTGGTAGACATTTGTTTCAAAAACTCAGCAAATTCTGTGTTTTGGCCCTTTTTTTATTTTTTCCCAAAATCAGAAGCACTATATGCTTCGTCCAATCCATCCTTTCCCCCTTCATTCTACAAAATCTATCGAGTGAACATTGCTCCGTCTCTCCGACCCATGGTCGCCATTGGATCATCAGTCCGATGCCTCCTCAGTCATGGTTTTAGCATCTTTCCAGCCTTACCTTTATATTTCGTTGATTCTTTCCGGCCTCCTCATATCAAAAATTGGTTCTGTCACTCTTCCGTTCAGTTCTTCTCCAGTGCTATCTTTCCAGCCTCCAGCGCTTCTTCTCTGGTCAGTTCTTCTATTCTAAAATTGTCCACCTCCATTCACATCTTCTGTTCCATCACTGTCTTCACGCATAGTCGTGCTTTTAAAGGTTTTTTTTAAATATTAATAAAGGATAGTGGGAGCTGGAAAAATTACTTGTAAAAAAAAAACATAATTGAAGAAATATTGCAATTTAGCTTTTTTATTCTCATGATTACACAAGTTAATGCCACCACAAAAATAATTTTTCACTTGGATGGTTCATTTCTTTTAACTTTACTATTAATGAAGAACATGAGAATCATTACCTTGTGTGGTTTAATATTTCACTTAATTACTTCACTATTTGTTGTATTGAAAATATATGTATATTTAAATATTTAATTATGTTTCGTACTAAATTGTATTCGATAATCATATTAGTATGGGTGCTTTATAGGTGTCAAGGATTTTCCTGAGGGCATCACATGTAATTAATTGTTGAAGTGTTGTTGTGTGATGATGTGATACCAGTTCCTTGCTTCTCTCTTGTATTTTGATTTTTATGCTTTGCTTCTCTCTCGTATTTTGATTTTTATGCTAATAAGTTGTTGAAATTTTAGAAAAGATAAAGTATTTAAAAATTGATTTCCTATAAACCTATCGAGAAGAGAGGTCACTAATGACCGGCAAACATCCTATTATTTATATCTATAATCTATATCTATACTATTATGTAAATATTGTTGGATGGATACTGTAGATCTATAATACCCATCCAGCCTTTTTTTTCCCATTTATCATTGCCTTATTATTATTATTAATTTTTTTAGGTTATTATTTCAAATGGATGCTGTATATCAGTACCCATCCATGACCCTTTTTTCATTTGTTATGGATGGGTATTGTAGATCTACAATACCCATGCACCGTTTTTTAAAAAAAAAATTTTTACTAATTTTTTAAGGTTTTATGATAAATAAAAAAGTAAAAAAATATGGTCGGTCCTCTAGTAAAAGAGATACATGTGGGATATATAATTAAAAATAAGTAAAGTATTTTATATATTTTTGTCTTAATTAATGGTACTTCTCTTCTATGTTTCAAAACTTATATAAATATTTTTTAGTGTGGATAATTATAAAATACAAACCTCCTTTTTTATTTTTGAGATTTTATTTTTAATCTATCTAACTATTAATTGACTGTCAAGTCACATATATTAAACTAAAATATCTCTATTTAAATATAAATGTTGCCTAAAAATTATTTAAAGTACCTAATTTACAGTAATTAAGCCAACTTAAATAAATTTGAAAGCTAGAGGTGTTAAGAGTTATGTTCAACTATAAATGTTTTTATATGTGGAACCTACAAAAAAATTAAATTGTTAATGTGAAGCTCATAATTAAAAATGAGTAAAATATTTTGATATTCCTTTGCTTTTATCTTAATTAATGATATGTGTCTTCTATTTTTTGAAACCTATATGAACATTTTTTTTCCTAATATAGATATTTATAAAATAAAAGCTTCCTTTATATTTTTAAAATTTTATTTTTATCTACCTAACTATCATCTATAAACTAAAATGCTCCTATTTAAATATAAATAATTTCAAAAAAATCATTTAAATTATCAAAAAAATTAATTTTGTAACTTTTTAAAAAATTTAATTTATAACTTGGCCAAAAAAATTTCAAAAACATAGTTATGGGCTCAATAAAGAGAAAAATAAAACAAAATTTTTAAAAATTTGAGATAGTTAAATCAGCCTAAATAAATTTGAGAGCTAGAGATACAAGAGTTAGGCTCGATTGTTGAACTTTTTTATACGTTTATATATTTTAAAATCAATTAAAGATCCAATGAGAATGGAGAAAATGTGAGATTTTAATAAACTTAATTTTTTTTTAAAATTGAAGTAGTGTGATTTGAAGAAGTGATGTGTGGACCTATCGTTAAAAAATGTAAGTTGGGTGAGATATTTATAAATTTTAAAAATTTAGACATTTATATTTTAAAAGATCATGATAAAAATAATAGGTGTTAGATATGTAAGGAAATTTATAGTGATAAAAAAGTGGATGAGGGACCTATAATTTAATTAATAAAATAAAATTAGTAATTATTTTTAAAAACAATTTTTTAAGATTAGTTAATGAATGATTTTGTTAAAAATAAATAAATAGTATAGTTGTAGGATTTAGTAAAAAAGTGAATGTGTGATCTACTATTAAAAAATGTGAGTGTGGGGTCAACATTTATACAAGTTAATAATTTAGACAATTCTTTAAAAAATATGAAGATTTTTATATTTTGAAAGATTATGTAGAATCCATGGTAAAAATTGGTGGTGAATATACTATTTTTAATAAAAAATAATAATGTGTTTGATATGCAAAGAAATTACCAATGACAAAAAAAAAAGGATTGCAGGACCTATAACTTATGTAGGATTCATAGTAAAAATTGTATGTGGATATAATATTTTTAGTAAAAATAATAGGCGTTAGATATGTAATAAAATTTAAATAAACATAAACACAAATCATATTGACTAATTTATCTCATATTTCATTAATTTAAAATACATACGTGTTTGAAATATTATTTTAGTAAACTTATTCCATTCATTAAAAAATGTAAAGTGGTTTTTTAAGGCTATTTCTTAGGGTTTGAATGTTAAAAGGTATAAGATGTTTTTAGTATTTAAAGGTGTAATTATTTTAGAGTTAAAAACATAATTAAATAGTAAATATAGAAAGATTATGTTAATTTAAAAATAAATAACTATTTTAATATGATATAAGATTCTATTAAAAATAACTTGTATTTTATTCTGTACATTGCATGGGTTATAAATTTTGAAACAAAATATTCTACTTAAATTTAAATTTTAAAATTTAACATATACATATATAATAAATTTTAAAATAAAATATTGTACTAAATTTTTTATATGGACAGAAAATTATAAAAAATATAAATTATAAGAAAAATTGTTAGATAAACTTATCTTTTGTACAATATTTTTTTCTAACTTTAAAAAATAGTATAATCTAACTCTTGATGTTGATAAAAAAATAACTTTGATCATTATTTGATCAAAAAATAACCTTAAAAAATTATGTTGCAATATATTGTTATTTATTATTATTTTCTAAAAACAATCTCACTTTTTTTTTCATTGCCTAGTTACCTTGTGTGCATGGCACAGGGTTAAAATCTAGTTACCTTGTAATACCCTTAGTTGTGAACTGTGTTTTATGAATTGTGTGATTCAAGAAAATAATTAAGTCGGAAACCCTCTAGGGTATAGGGAAAAAATAATGTTTGATATTTTGTGTTAAAGGTTGGATTAATTGAAGAGGTAGGGTGAAAATGCCATGTTTTAGAAGAACGCGCAGTTAACCTCTACTATTGCATGAAAAGTTGACTTCTAAATCTCAACAATTACAATCTCACCATGTCACTCAGGTATTTTTCAATTTGTGTCTTGAAAAGCATTTTCTGGATGAGTTGTTATAACATGTAAAACAAATATATTTACTGTGATATATGCTTTGATGAGTTGCTGTATCTTTGATACCATGGAAGCTATGGGAATTGATGTTGAAGATGTCTCTTCGACATATAGATCAGGCATAGGCTGGTACTCTTATTAATACTTGAACTATAATTCCATCCTACTACTCTTAATTTCTCTAATTCTGCATTAAAATCCTTAAATCATGGTCTAAAATTAGGGCAACAGCATTGTCAAGTGTTTCTCAACCAAAGTTTCAAACCAATTACACAATAGAGTTAAGAACTCTAACCTCTTGGTTACTATGTCATAGTTTTCTTGATTCAATCCTTTTGAGCTAGACCTTGTAATCAAAATCTTTACCAAGGGAAAATATAAAGCTGTGGATATGTGGCACTTGAAAAGATGAGCACTTTTCTAGAAGGGACTATTACATTTAGAAGAGGCTGAAGGGAAGAAATTGATGGTAGAATTCAAGTGCTTATGCATGTAATTCCCTCCTTTAGTTTCAGGCTACGAAAATACCCAGAATGATATGAATATCAAGCTAAATGGCTTGCTGAGTGAAAGTCAGTCATCTTGGGTTCCAATGAGAGTTTAACATATATTTTATTTAACTTAGGCATTGCCAAGTATATCCCATTAAACATAATTATTTCTAGCAATATTTTTTGTCATTTTCTCTTATCTTTCCATTAGATTTTCGCCAACTGTGATTGTAAGAGTGAGGATAATTTTTGACCAAAAATGAATAAAAGGAAGATTAAATGTTGATTATATTGAAGGCTTAAACTAAGTTTGATAATATTTGAAATCCATCATTCTCCACCCTTGATTTTTTTCCCCAAAACTTCCAATTTTTGGCTTGGTTAATTTGTGTCTAAGTGAAAATGGTTAATTCCTTCCCCTTTTCTGGTTCAACGTCACGCTCGTCTTGCTCTCTCAATGGGCTTGGATTTGCTTTATATTAACTTTAGACTATGGGTGGGCAGCTTTGGCTATTTTTCTTGACCAGATAGAATCTAAATTGTATAATCAATTCTTTAGAAAATTCCTAACCAATAAAATTGGCATAATTCGTTCAAATATTTGTTCATTTCTTTTATTAGTTTCCTTTAGTTTCTTCAATCCATATTTTTCTCAAATAATTTTGTATCACTTTGGAAGAAGAATTTACCTTCAAGTTCTAAAGTATATGTGAACTTGTAATTCAATTTTCTTGAGGAGTAATCCATTAATTTTCTTAAACAATTATTGAATTTAAGGCCTCTACATAATTTTTAAACCTTTCCACTCATTTTCATTTTAGATGGATTCAAATTGTAACTACTTACTGTTGTGACATTGTCATTGCAACACTACAGGTATCATTGAAACATTTCAAGAAGCCAAGGAAGCTGTGGCGTCCTTCACCTCCATCGATATTTAGTAAATGTCCAATGACCTTGGACACTATAAAACAATTAAATGAAATTAGCTCATAATTGGATGAAACTAAACTTGGAATTGCTATGGCTATGTTGATGAATGATAAACATAAACAATTAAGTTTCTGTTACATTGTAAGTGCAAGAATAGATTGGATAAAGTCACTAGTTAAGGAGGGGATGGAGGAGGGGATTCAAAGGCTCATTGACTACTCATTGCTTGATTCCAATGAAGATTGATGTGCATCCCATATAGCCATGAGATGGAATCCTAAAAGACTACGGAGTTAGGACATTTACAAATTATAATATTTATAACATAATTTTAGTTATTATTTGTCATACTATAATTTGGATAAATTTACTTTATTGACAAGTGAGACATATGGTTTAATAACAAAATTATTCATGTTAAATCCATGAAGTGCTGAAAATGTTGGAGCAAAAAAAGTGACGCTTTTTCACAGGAGGCGGTGGTGGGTGAAAATGTAAACTCGGATAATGATTCTGTTTTGTAATTGCTTTTTACTAATATATGCTTTATCCCAAAAAAATAATAATTAAGTGATGCTTTCCAATAATATTTTCAAAACAAAATGCATGGTTTAGAAAATTTCTTATAATTTTTCTTCAAAAAACAGAAAAACATTATTGCCAATGCCAGATATAAAGTCACATAATAGCGTTGGTGCATCTAGCTGGTTCACATGGTTGATGGCTTAAATTTTCTTATTTTTTTTTTAAAGCCCTAAAAAAATTAATGTACTTATATTAAAAAAGTGATTACTAAAAATTTGAAATTCATGTTAATGATAATTATTAACTTTAAATTAATAAAATTTAATGATTACATTTGTCATGAACGTTTTAAGGACCAAATTTTAAAATTATTTATTCCTAATTATAAATACTCATAATTCTACTTATAATTAAATTTATGTTGTTTGAGTGATAAATAATTGTAAATATTATTTTACTTGTAAACTTTTGTCCTATGAATAGTACTACGGTTATTGTCATTAAGACCAAATAACTTATGAATTCAGTCACTTGGTAGAAATTTGGAAAAATAGCATCCAAGGACCTTTGTATCAAATTAAAGCTTGAATGAATTGTTATTAATTTAAAATGAATTAACTTAAATCAATTAACAACAATTCATTCAGGCTTTAATAAGCTAGAAAAGCATATAGAATAAGCATAATTGTACATGTTAGTCTTTCAGCAAAAAGAATCCATTTGGGTTTTAATGATAGCTAATTTTAAATTAACAACAATTTATTCAGAATTTTAAAAAGCTATAAAAGCAATAACAAGTATCAATTTAAATTTTGACAACAATTCATTCTAAATTAACAACAATCCATTCAAGCTTTAACAAGCTAGAAAAACAGATAAAATAGGTTTAGTTGTATGTGTTAGTCCTTCATCAACAAGTGTATATTTAGGTTTTCACAACAATTCATTCAACATTAACAACAATCAATTTTCGTTTTAATAAGTTAGAAAAACTGATAGGAAAGGCTTAGTTGTACACGTTAATCATTTATTAACAAGTATCCATTCAGGTTTTGACAACACGTTATTCATGAATAACAACAATACATTCAAACTTTTAACATGTCAAATTAATAAATAACATTTGTAAAATAATAAATTTTGTTCAGAAATTAATAACACACTATTATGTTATGACATGAAAGTGGTTAGAAACTTAGTTTACTACTTATATATATACATTGCTATAAACAATTAAAGGGTTTCGTGGCCAAGCTATCAAGCTTTTTAGGTGGCCAAGGGTCATGAGATCAAATCCTTCCTTAGCAACCTAAATCAATTATTTCTTAAATAAAATGTTGATGGCGCTGGAGCTCTAGTGACCTACCATCAGTGACCCTGCTGGCAGTAGGGCCTCCAGCGACTTCACTGCCAGTAGTAGTCCAACGGCCAGCTCTGTAACTTCTTTTTTTTCTACTTTTTAACTAGTGGGATAGTTTGGACTTTTGACTTTAAAAATTAATATCAATCAAGGATCAAGGGACTACGGTGCAATTTTGAAGTCAATTGGTCCTTGATTGATATTAATTTTCCTTAGCAGTCCTTAGATGCTATGTTCCCTAAAAATTTACCCAAACTCCTTTTGTTTCAAATATGCATGGATTTTTAAGGGCAATTAATATCCCCTCCCTCCCCTGAAAATATCTATCATATTATATCATTTTTTCTAAAATACACAAACTTGTTAGTAAGAATAGTATAATATTGTTGTTATTATATCTCTTTTCATTCTTATAATTCATCCATTTCCAATCATGCATCCTTGTTAATACTTATTATCCATTCCATCATTCCAAAATATGCTAATCTAAAATAATAATAAGGATTAATGGGGTTAGATCTAGTTGAAGAAGCTAATTTCTTATAACATGATGAACTAAAGTTTGAATTTTCATTGAGAGAAGTGCTAATATTTAGTTTCCAACAGTACTCTAAATATGATTGCCTCCAATAATAAGTGGATACTTGTGGATAAAAAAAAAGTAATAACTAATAATCCATGTGAAGTATGCAATTATTGTAAGTAATTTTGGAAAAATTAGTCACAAGGACCAACATATATTGGAATTCAGAAATCAGCCATGAATCTTTAATAATTTATATTCTAAGGATGATGAGTGCAAAAAAAATGAAGATGAGTGGTTTAATATTTTTGCTGATGAGATACGCATTGCCTTTCCAACATCATGGTTGTTGCAAGTTTTATATCAACATTAGAAATTTATGGTCAAATATTTGACCCTTTTCACTCGTAGGGACCATTACCACAATAATGAAAGGTTTCTTTGAGGCTCTCCATCTGAAGCCTGCCATTATAATTCATCCTTTCTATCTTTCTTCCAATTAGCACTTTTCACATTGCATCCCACACAACATGGTTTTATTTTTAAGAAAATTCTTTGAAGTTTTATGAAATATTTCCTTAGAATTAGATTAGAAGACCATGGATATGACATTACTATAAATAAAGCTCAAATTAATTCAAAATTTCACCATAGGAATTTAAATCTCAAGTGAAATTAAAATGTAAGGAAAAATTACTAAAATAACCCTATTAACGTGTAAGGTAAATATTTCAACAAGTAACTATAAGATATTAATAAGTGGCATTACACATTTAACAAATATCGTAATTGAGTTAATAAGTTATCAAGTAATGTTAGTAAATTACATGTAAAGTATATATATTAACAAGTAACTATATGCCTTTAACAAGTACCGTAATAGTTATCATGTAATGTTAGAGAATTTAACATGTAAACACTACTACAAAAATCTATATATATAATACTAAGAAAAATGATGATTAAAATAAAATATGTCATATAGTTGAGAGGTTGGGTGACGCTGACAAAATAAATGATGTTTATCTCACCAGCATTTAATGGAGGGTAAAAAAAATTATAATAAAAATTTAACGATGTGAGTAATAAATATGACAAAAAAGATATTCTCTCTCCATCTTCTAAATTGGACTAGAGGGAGTATAATTTAGTATACCTCAGGTCTTGAATTTTTTACTCATTCATATATAACAATTTATGAGATAACTGTAATATAAAGGGAGCTGGCAAGTGTTTGAAACACATGTCATATATAGTAATGATGTATAATATAAATTTTTAACATATTTATTTATAGTAATGATGTATAATATAAATTTTTTTAATATTTTAAAAGCAAGAAACTAAAAGGTATGTTATATGATAGGTGTTTTAAACACCGTTATCTATGTTAATATTAATTTTTATTTTATGAAGAACCACAATCTTAGGCATTATATAATGGGTTTGTTAATACCCTCCATATGTTCATAATTAAATAAATGATTGGTGTTTAAAGCGCGCGCGCGCACACACACACACACATATATATATATATATATATTTAATAAGGATAAAATTAAAACATATTAATTTTTTAGACAAAATTAATAAATTTTAAGATTTTCTTGATTTTAATAAAACATATTGAAAGTGATTGATAAATAAAATTAGAGAAATATTGTGAGAACTAACTTTTAAGTGAATTGTAACTACAAGGATTAAAAAATTATTTTTTTAAATTATTCCATCTGCAATCAATGACTTTTTTTTTTGACCAAACAATCAATGACTTCAAAGATGTACATTTCATCTTATTCATTAGCTTTTTGAAAATTGTAGGAAAGAATGAGCAATTTTGATGGGTCTTGATCTTCACATTCACATTAAAGTAGAGACATCAACATCTGGAAGGACCACTATTTAAATTATGCAAAAGAAGATACGCCTTCCATCCTTATATGTAAAATTTTTTTAATCAAATCACATGAATCAATAAAAGTTAGTTATCTACTTAAAAGCACACCAATATTTCAATTTTATCTCTAAATATTGTAAATAAAAAATGAATTTTTTTCAAAGTAAATTTATGAATACTTATGTCTTTCCCTTTCCAATGTAATTAAGATATAATGGTCCATTTATTAAAAATATACTGATAACCTCTTATATTTGGGGGAAAATTTTTTTAAAAAAAATCTCTTATATATAAAGACAAAGGAAGTACATTCAAAAGCCTAACTTTGTTCAAGAGATTAAAAAATTATACAAGAAAAAAAATGTTTCAATAATATAAGCTGTTTTCAAATACCCTATCATCTATAATTTGAGAAAATGAGTAAAAGTTTCTCATACTCCTCTAATCATGTTTATGGGATAAATAAAGAAGATTAATTTTAATTTTATTTATAAGACACTTTAATATTTTCTACATTTATCTTTATCTTATCTAATGAATAGTATAAAAAAGGTTAAAATAATAAATCATCAAGAATGTACTCTATTAAATTTGAATGATCCATATTTAATAAAGGATGGGAAGACGGGTAGGAAGAGAGAAGCCAAGTTTGAGAGACTTGGACAATTTCCTTGGGAGTCACCCACTCTCCTCCCCAGTCCCTCCCCACTCTCCTCCCCTCCTTGTTAAATTTGTATAATTTGAATGGTCCTCATGAAATGATATAATATTAATTTTATATTTATTAAAATAAAAAATTACAAAATTTTTATTAAATCTGATCAATAATTTGGATATTCTAAATTTAATATAGGTGGTCCAAATTTAATATAATATTAAATTTTTTTCATAATTTTTTATAAATTGATTATTTAGATATATTCTAGATAGTATGAATTTAATATTAAAATCATAACAATTTTTAATACTAAATTTGAACCATTTATATTAAATATAGACTATACAGGCTAGTGATTAGATGCAATAATTTTTTTGTAATTT